GTGTGTGTGTGTGTGTGTGTGTGTGTGTGTGTCCATACTCCAAGGAGGAGTTTCAACCTTCACTTTGGGGTAAATGTGTCCGTGTTTCAAATCATCTGTCCTTCGTATTTTAATGTCGTTACATTTGAATGCTCAGGGAGGTTTTTAATGGAAACAAACAAAGGGCCGGTATAAAGAAGTAAAGGTGCTCGGTTGTGTTTGAATGAGCTGCTCAGTTTGCAGCGCTGGCATCTTTTGTTTGTTCCCTGAAGGCTTTTGTTATCAGCATTACTTATCGGTCAACACTGGGCTTTGTCTCTGCAAATGTCCCCCAATCAGCTGTCTATTTAGCTTCGCCCAACCTGTGGGTCTATGCTAATTGTGAGCCCGGTTGGGGCCCAGTGTGTGCGCGCATTTTAACGACAATGTTTTGTTTTCGGTGGGTACTAGTAGAGGAGGAGCGGAGTGTGTTTCAGGGGTGGGGAGTTGGAGGGAGGTGTGTGGGGCGGGGCTATAGTAGCAGTGTGTGCGTGTGAGGAGAGGGGAGGCACTGCGTATGGGGGGGTTGATGGCGTAAACGCCTGTCAGCCAGACAGAGCATCTTCAGTCTGGTACGGACAGCTGGGGGTCTCCACTTTGCTTTAAGAGCACTGCCAGTTTAAGAGGACGCCCACTTCTTTAAACCCGGAGCTCTGCGCACGGAGCGCGTAAAAATTAGCGGACTGATTTCAAGAACTCACTTTAAAAAGAAAGAAAGAGGGCGAAAAATGGTTATGTCTCACTTCAGATTCGCCTGGACGACTTGACTCAGTAAACAGAGACGCGACCGGATTTAAAAATAAATAAAAACAACCCTGTCTTCTGAGATATTTCTCTTATTTCTTTCCATTGGTGCTCCTTTGACCGCACTCAGCATGATGTCCTATTTGAAGCAACCGCCCTACACGATGAACGGACTGAGCTTATCTACCTCAGGAATGGACCTGCTGCATCCTTCCGTGGGATACCAAGGTAATATACCCTGTAAGCCCGCAACCACTTCACGATAGAAAAAAAAAGCTGTCTCTTAAGGTGTCCAGCAGGTTTAAAACATTTAACAGAATGCTGAGTTATCTCAGCTGGTAGTTGTATTTAATGCTCAGGTGAGGATACGGAACAGGCGACATTTCTAGGTGAGAAGTTGCTGGATTCAAATCGTGCTAAAAGTCAGGATGTGCCAATAATCGCTGTTTTCCTCCCCATTTCTTATCAGGAACCCCCCGCAAACAGAGAAGGGAGAGGACGACCTTCACTCGGGCCCAGCTCGACGTGCTGGAGAATCTGTTCAACAAGACTCGGTACCCGGACATCTTCATGAGAGAGGAGGTGGCCTTAAAGATCAACCTGCCTGAATCCAGAGTGCAAGTAAGTCATGAGCTGATAGCGCGAGCCTGCCGAAGGAGGTCGATATTTGGTAATTGTGTCAGTGAGAGGTGAGAGAGGCTCTCCATTCACAGGAGAGGTTGACAACAACACCTCTGAGACTGTATTATTACTTCCTCATTTATTCCCACTGGGAATGTGCTCACGTGTAATTCTAAAATAGGCTATATTTTCCTCGCATTTCTATTTAATGATGGCCCATACTACTCCTACAGGGAAGTGAGATAATGAGAAAAACAGCTCATTTTCGTATTTACCCCACTGCGGTTACGTGTTCAATATTTTAATGTGT